CGAAGCGATTCGGGCGGGGCCGCGCGGGCAACGCGTATTGGGCTGCCCGCCCCAGGCGAGAGTCGAGCAGTCGGACCGCCAGGCGTCGATCGCCAAGGGCGTGGGCAAGAAGGGCGGCAGCGACCGGCGCGACCAGGCGCGCCCGCGCGCGAGCGCCCCGCGGACGCGCGCGCGCGTCGCGACGCGCGAGGCGACGAGGCCCGGGCCAAGGGTCCCGAGGAGCCCCGTTCTTCGGCGTTCGCGCAGCCCGCGCCGTGACGCATCTGGCAAAGCCGGCGACAAAGGGAACGGCGAGCCTGGCAAAGGGAACAGGCCCGAGAGGGCCGATGCCTGGCGGTGGTGGCGCCAGAGCGCTGGCGCTTTGCATGCTAATTATTCGCTCGCCCAAGGCGCGACCCGCGAGCGCGCCCGCGTGATTGTCGCGCGACGAGCCGCGTAGGCGACGGGGCTCCCCCACTGCGCTCTGCCGACAGCGGTGAGAGCGCAGCGTGGCGTGGGCCGTCGCCCGAGGGACAGGAGGCGCCGCGATTGCGCCGCGGCCGGGACTGCCCCGCCCGCGCGCGCGCAGCGCAGGGCGCGAATGCCGATTCCGACAACGATGTCGGGTGCGGGGGCGGCGATCTGCACCCCCAGCAAGTTCACGATGCCGGCTGCGCTTTTGAAGAGGCCCGCAACCATCATCCGCCGAAGGCGCATCGAAACGCCGCCGCGTTGCCGCGCGCGGTCAGGTCAGAGCCGCCGTGGAAGCACTGCTTGTCGACGAAGGCAGGAGGGCGGGCATGGGCCCCCTCTGCCATGTGGCCTGGGCGGCGCATCTGCCGCGGGTCAGCGAAATGGCGCCGCTCGCCGGGGCTGCGCGCGACGCGGCGGTGGCAGCTAGCCAGACGGCCGATCAGCTCTTGCATCAGAAGCGCGAGGCGGCCCTGCAGTTCTGGCAGGAGCGCAAACGTGTGACGGTTCCAGCATGGAAGGCGCCACCCAGCACGCCCGCATCGCGCGCCGAGTTCACCCGGGGAGCGCGCTTGCCGGGAGACGCGCTATGCGAGATTACCATGGCACGTGCGTTCCGTTCGTGGGCCTGACAAGAATTTGTTGCTCTTGGCCGAGATGATGCAAGCCGCTGGGGTGGCCCGCGACGCGGCGCGGGCGCGCGCCGGCGGAGCGCGGCCTCGTGCGCGAGGCGCCCGACATTAATTTGGCGCGCGATTTGGAAGAAGGGTTCCAGCTTGTCGGGGTCCTGCCGCGTTCGGGCATGAACGCGGACGTGGCCCCGAAGGAGACCGCGTGCCCGTCCGAGCTGCGCGGCCGGGCGGACGCTTTGAACGCCGCCACTCTCGAGCGCGCGTCTCGGGGCCTGGGGGCCGACGCGGAAGTCGCCCAGATATTGCATCAGAAAGCATATGAGGAGGCGCGCGCGCGTGCGCCCTGCGCGCGGGAGTGGGCGGCCTGCCCGGGTCGCGGCGCCCGCGCGCATGCAGGTAGCCGCGGGTCAGGCGGCGTGGGTACGTCTGTCTGACTTGCCGCGAGGGGCGATATTGAACCCACGTTCCCCGTCGACGAGGGATGGCGATGGAAGGAATCGGGCTGGGCGCGCGAGGAGTGGCGCATTCTCCGCGGCGCGCAGTCTCCCCGCGCCCTGCCCCGGGGGTCGGTGCGCTTAGGTTCGCGCGATTGACGACTTTACTGCTACGGGAGTGAATGACTGCGCCGCGGCAGCCGAAAGGTGCAGGCGGGCCCTGGCGCGCGCGGCCCACCCTCGCCCCTCCCCTTGTGTTGCCGCGGCCGCGCGCAGGGTCGATTCTCTCGACGCTCTGGTCGAGCTGGCGCGGATCGCGGCCGCGGCCGGCGCGCCGGTGTTGAGCAAGGAAGATTTCGTCGGGGCTTATAAGACGCTGCCTGTGCGAGGCGCCGACCTCCCGCTGGCCCGCGCGGCTTGGGCCAAGGGAGCCAGCGAAGGCTACTGCTTGCAGCTCCTGAGCTGCCCGTTCGGCGCCGTGGGGAGCGGGTGCGCCTGGGGCCGCGTTGGCGCGGCGCTCCAGGCACGGGGCGCGACCGCCGCGGCGTCGCAGCGCGCGCCCCCCCGCGCGGCAGGCGATCCTTGCCGAGTTATTCTGGCTTGCGTCGGGGCGGTTTGTGGACGACCTGTTCCGGGCCGACGCCGACAGAGGGCCTGGCGCGGGCGGCCCCCGCGACGCCGAGGTGTTGAGAGCGGTCGTCGAAGATCTGTTAGGCTGGCGCCTCGATGTCGGCAAGCGCGTCGTTGCCGAGCCGAGGGCAAATGTGCTCGGCGTCGACGCGGAAGTGCGCGGTTCGGGCGAGGAGCTATCGCTCGTGTTGGCGATCGGTACTGACAAGCGTGATAAGTGGAGCCAGGAAATCGAGGGGGCGCCGGCGGCAGGGCGAATGTCGCCGGCGGCCGCCTCCAAACTCGCCGGCAGATTGGGATGGGGGCCCAGCGCGGTGTTCGGCAGAGGCGCGCGATGAGCCGCGCGCGCAGGCAGCGTGCGCGAGCGGGGGCGACGGCAGGCGCCCGAGTATACCTGGCACCGCTGTTCTGGCATGCGCAACAGCGGGGTGGGCGCTGAATTCTCGGCTCCGAAGAGCACTGGAGTGGTGGCTGCGCTTCCTCCGAAGCGCGCCAGAACGGGCGGTGCCCCTGCGAGTGGGTGGGCCCATGCCGACCCCGCTACCTTCGCGACGGGTGGTGGCAGGCGACGCATGCGCGAGCCCACGGCGCCGGCCCCGCCCGGACTGCGCCGCCACCGCAGGCTCGCGTGGGTCATCATCGGACCCGATCGTAAGCAGTATGCGGCGGCCGATGCGCCCGGTCCAATCAAGCGGTGGGCGCGGCACCGCAGGACGCAGGCGGGAACGAGCTCGTCGCGGCAGTATGCGCCTTGCATCATTTGCTCTCGGAGTTGCGCGACGCCGAGATTGGTGTTTGTGGATTCACAGGCGTGGCCAAGCGCGGACCGTCGGGCCGCGCGCGCAATGCCCGTCGGCTGCGGCAGGCCGCGCTCGGTGTACTCTTGCGCGGCACTTCGCGCCAGCCAGATTATATCGCGCTGGTAGCCGACATCTGGATCGCGGCGGCTACCGCGCGGTGCCTCCTGAGCGCATGGTACGTGCCATCGGCGCTCAACGTGGCGGACGCCCCCGCGCGACCCGCTCAGAGAGCGGCCGAGATAGCGGCCATGCACCGCCAGGGCATCGCCCGGGTGGCGTGGCCATGGCCCCGCGCGGCGCCCTGGGACTCACGCTAGCAAGGGCATCTGACGGCATGTGAAACGGAAAAGGGGGCACGAGTGCCGACGCGGCGGGCACGTTGCGACCGCGGCGCGCCGTGAGCGAAGATCAGCAAGCGGGATGCTCGCGTGTCTGTCGTACGCATCGCGATGGGCGCCCGCAAATGTTGCGGACCCGGTGGGCGGAGTTGCTTTGTAATGTCTGGCATCCAAACTCGCGGCCGAGGGCGCGACGTCCCCCTCCGACATTTCCGAGTTCTCGGCGGGGGAGGCGAGGGAAATGTTCCCATGCCCCCGTGAGTGTTCGGTATGCTTTACCGGGGCACTTGTCGCGCGCGCACGGGGAATGGTCCATGATAAAGCGAAGCGACCGCGGGAGAACGCGGCGGAAGCGTTATCCCAGGTTGCGCGCGCGGCGCCACCTTACCCACCGAGGTGGGGGAGCGCCCGGCCGCCGCGCGGGGCCCGCGGTTGTAAAGGCGGCGAAAGTAATAATCGAGGAGGCCGCCAAGCGCCCGGCGCCGGCTCCGGGCTTGCGGGCGACGCGCCGGCCTGGCGCGGCATTGACCCCTCAATATGCTCTTGCGTTACTTTCGGCGGCGCGGCAGGCACAGCAGGCACCGCGTCGCGGGGGGGGAGGCGTCGGCGAGATTGCTCGGCTCCGCGACGCCGACTCGCGCTCCCACCGCCGCCAGGCCTGGGCCCGCGCCTGTCGACGGTTGTGCCCCGCGTAAGCGCGGGCCCAGCCTCGACGCGACTTCTCTCGTAGATCCCCCGCGGCGGACCCAGGCCATTTGCGGGTAGCTACCTTGCGAGTAGTGGGTCGCGCTCGTCTATTCTTGGTCTTCCCCCGTTGCCCCTGTTGTTCGGCCTTGGGCTCGACCAGGAGAGCTGCCCAGCCCAAGGGTTTGGTCTCCGCCTCCTGCTTGTCGAGCTCTGCTTCGGCGCGGCGCCAGGTGTCTGCTGTCTGAGGGCAGCGGGCCCGCACCGCCTACGTTGAGGCGGCTCTGGGGCAAGCTGCCGCGCCCTGGAAGCAGAAAGCCCAGCTTCGAGGTAAGTGCGGGCGGCAGTCCTTGAGGCGGAGGGTGCGCCGCTCTTCTTGTTCATTGCTCAGAGCCCCGGTCAGTTCAGCGTAGGCCCCGACGAGCAAGTCGTCGAGTTCCCCCACCCAGGCGGTTTTGGAGCTCGCGCGCCGGAGGTGGGTGCAGCAGCCCTGCGCGTAGGTGCGGAGCAGCGGGCGCGCCCCTGTCGCCGAGAGATCGTGCTGGCGCAGCGCCCCCGAGAATCTCAGGAACTGCCGTGTCTTGGCCAGGGCCTCCCCCCATCGGAGCTGGCGTCGTCGCCGTCGTCTCGCTCATACCAGAACAGACTGGGTGGCAGTCTGGAGAGGCTCGACCTCATAGAGCCACAGCGGTGGCCTGGCTGGCGGCCCGCCTTTGGGTCTTCGCCGCGCTGAACTTCAGACTGGCCCAAGCCATCCGTTCCCTCAAGACCCAGGACCCTCCGACTACTTCCCCGGGACCGGTCTTTCATCCCGAGTCGTTTTTCGGCGGTCCCGAGGCCCAGCGACGGCCCCGAGAGGCCAAGAACTGCGAAAACCTCCGTCTCGATTTTTTCGAGACGCCCGATGTCTGGGGACGTCGTCGGCCAGCGCTCGCCGGGGCCAGACGCCGCCCCCTCCCCGCCCCCCCCGCGCGCGCGCGCTGGTGCCGCGGGGCTGCCCCCCGCGGCCGGCCGAGGGGGCGGGGCGGGCAGGGCACGAAGCTGGGCGTGACTGGGCTCAAGACCGCCACCGGCACCGTGGTGATCGTCACCGGAGGGGGGGCAGGGCGCTGGTTCCTGCCGTTGCGTGAGTCGACTACACGTAAGAGTGACCTTTCGCCGGAGTGACCTTCGGTGCGGGCCCAATGGGGCCCCCCGATCGCCGAACGCGATGCGGTAGTTGCGTCTCGCGCGCTCGCTTTTGGTCCCCCCGCGGCCCCCAAAAAGCCGCGCACCAAAGGTGACGCTTACCCAGGGTCACTCTTGCGTGTAGTCGAGTGAGGGGGATTGGACGGGGCTAGGACGAGGAGGAGTCCGTTCCAGAGTGTTCCAGGCTCTCGGAGCTTCCCGGAAGGCTGTGAGAAGGCCGCGGCGCCCGAGGCATGCTCCAGAGCTGGGGGATCTGAGAGAGCCTCGATGTCGCCTCTCCCTGATCTCTGGACGCCCGACATGGGCACGGAAAGAATGGGTACAATGCAGTTCTTGTTCATTTTGAACAGGATTCGCTGTCCACGCCGCCGCGGCCTGTGTTCATTCGGGACAGAAGGCCGCCTGTCCAACAGCGGCCGCTGTTGGTTCGGGACAACATTTGCTGTTGGGCACTGGTCCCATTCTTTCCGTACCCATTTCGGGCGTCCAAATGATCATATCCTCGCCCTGGCCTCGTTTTGCACAGAGGTGCATCTCCCGTGCACCTTCGGGGCCCTGCGCGGGCCCCCCCTGGGGGCTCAGCATGTGCACGGAGGCTGCGCGCGGCTTCGCCCCCCCTCGGGCCGCCCCCTCCATTGTATGCGGCGCCCGACGGCTGCTGCCAGGGGTGGTCTTTGTCCGAGGCGTCTCCAGTTGTTCAAACAGGGGTCGAGAACGAAACATCGAAACGAACATAGACTTGCGGCGCTCCGCGCGGAGTTCGTGGATCTGCGCTGGGCCCCACTGGCGGCGCCTCCGGCGCCGCCGCTGGCGCGCCTCGCGCGCCAGGGAGGGGGTCCAGCGCAGACCCACGAAATCCGCGCGGAGCGCCGACAGTCTGGGTTTATGCTGTGTTCTGTTCCTCGAGGGGAGCAGGCGGCCTCCAGAGAACCCCGCTCACGAGGCCCAGAAGGCCCCACAAGTGGTTCAAGGCTTAGTGGGCCCCAGAAGGGGCAGGGCCGCTTTTTTTCACCGTTTCCGAAAGATTGTCACTTGGGAATGGACAGGGCGAGACAACGGCGACCAGAAACGGCAACAAAAACGGCTCCAGGATTGGAGCCAGAGCCGGAACTGGTAAAGAAACGGCGACGGAACAGGTAACAAAAACGGCGCTGGAACCGGAAACAAGAACGGCAAATTGGAACCAGCAGAAGAGCGGCCCTGTCGTTTCCATGGCCCGGTGAGGTCCAAGGTGGAGCGAGAAACTCAGGTGCGCCCCAGGCAAGCGTCATTTCAGGCAGCCTCCGCCATGGGGGGAGGACCCTGCCCTCCAGAGTGCCGTCGGACTGCCCTCCAGGCAGCCCCCGACGTCCCGCTGTCATCTCGTATAGCCTTCCTTCAGGGGCGGCCTAACCGACCCCCAGCAAGCCATCCCCTTCCGTGACGTGCTCCTCGCTCGCCTCGCCCCAGCACGTATGCATGCGGCCGGAGGGGAGCTCGAAAGGCGAGAATGACGTTTAGGCCGCTAGGGGTCGTTTAGGCCGCGCCCGATCCCTGGGAGCTCAGGACCGCCAGGAAGAGACAGTGCCTCGACGGAACAGGTGGCCCCCGAGGCTTCCCGCCACTCTCGGGGCCTTCCTGGGGCCCTTCGGGCCGTGGGGCCGCCGAGAAACATCTCTCTTAGGCAGCCTATCGCCCCGGATCCCCGAGTTCCCGCCCCAGCAAAAAAGCCTTCCGCTCAGAGAAGAGGGCAGAGAAGAGGGCACCCCCTCCTCCTCCTCCTCCTCCTCCTCCTCCTCCTCCTCCTCCTCCTCCTCTCCTCTCCTCCTCCTCCTCCTCCTCCCTCCTCTCTCCTCCCTTCTCGGCAGTACACCCCCACCCTGGAATATACTTCGACACGCACACATACATATATATATATATATTTATATATGTATGTATATATATATGTACATATATATATATATATATCGAGGATGAACGCTCCTCCTCGTATGTGCCGACCAAGGCGGGGAGAGGGATCCTCCTACTCCTGGTAGGAGCAGGGTGAAAGTAGTCTGGTGAACCCCCTGTTGTCCAGGGCCCCTTCTCCTGACGACATTTGTCCCTCCTGGCAACAGGGAGGAACGAAGGGATGACAAAAGGAGGAGGAGGAGGAGGAGGAGGAGGAGGAGGAGGAGGAGGAGGAGGAGGAGCGGTGCCAGGGACGAAAGTGTGTGGAGAAGGACCGCGGGGAAAGCGAGGCCAGCGAGGAGGACGAGGAGGGAGGACGGGAAGTACGATGATGATGAGGACGCGCCAGGTTCATGTCACTGTCCTGGGGGGGAGGAGGAGGAGGAGGAGGAGAAGGAGGAGAAGGAGAAGGAGGAGGACGAGGAGGAAGGAGGAGGAGGAGGAGGAGGAGGAGGAGGAGGAGGAGGAGGAGGAGGAGGAGGAGGAGGAGGCCGCCTCCTCCTCCTCCTTTTCCTTTCCTCTGCGCTTGCGCCCAGTCGGTGCGCGGCGGCGCGCCTACCCCGCCTTCAACCCGAACGTGCCCCTGCGACCCTTCGGCCCGCCCCCTTCGCTGCCGGTGCCCCCTCAGTCCAAGTGGAGCCACGCTGGGGGACCCCCAAGCGTGGTGTTGACCACACCGTGTGGTGAGTCGGTGGGGATTCGGGGTCACCGCACGGTTCTGGGACTCAGGTCGTTCTCCGAGGCTTTCTCGGGCGACTGGGGCCTCCAGGGTCTCACAACGGTGTGGTGACAGACCCTGCGGTGAGGTCGTTGCGGATTTCGAGGTCACCGCCGGGTCTGTCACCACACGGTTTCGGGACCCCAATCAATTTCCGCGTCTTGGTACTATCGAAATGGTACGGGAAATGGCGACGATGACCAGCAGTCCCTGGCCGTTTTGAGCAAGGTTCGCGGTCCGTGTTGCCGCGGACATCGTCCTTTTGAATCAACAGATCGCCTGCCCAACAGCGGCCGCTGTCGGTTTGGGGCAGTATCTACCGTCGGCTTAGTGGGTCCTGGAAGCGGCAGGGCCGTTTTTTCACCGCTTCCGACAAGTGGCTCTCGAACATGTAATCGGAAGAGAAGCGGCAACCGGACACGGCAAAGAAACGGCTCTGGAATTGGAGCCAGAACAGGATGCGGCAAACAAATGGCGACGGAGGCGGGCAAAAACAAAAACGGGCGCTGGAACCGGCAATCAAACGGCACAACGGAATCAAACCAAATCGGCTCTGTCGCTTCCAGGGCCCGCCAAGACCGTGTGGCACCGTGCCGTGCCCATCTCGGGCGTGCCGGGGGAGGGGCCGTCGTCGACGGGCTGATGGACATGGCCACCGAGGTGGGCAAGCAGGTCACCAGGCCCCTGGGGTGGGGATGCGAGGCTCGAGTTTCGAACTTTGGGGGGCGAGTCTCCTCTGGGCCTCCTGGGGGGCTGCTCGTCGCCACGGCTGGATCAGCCTCGAAGTTGTAGCCAGCGCGCACCCCAGGCGAAGTCCGGGGGTTGATTCCTGATCCTTGGACCCAAACCCTCTCGCGATGTCGCGCGACTGGAGGTTTCTGACCGTTTTCGGCCGCGGGGCCGTCAGAAAACAGTTCGGGCAGTAGAGCCATTTGCCAGGAATAGGTTCTGACCACGGGGGATGTGGAGGGCGGCGTTTGGATGAGGCGGGGATGATGATGATGATGATGATGATGATGATGATGATGATGATGATGATGATGATGATGATGATGATGATGATGATGATGATGATGATGATGCTGATGCTGATGCTGATGCTGATGCTGATGCTGATGCGGATGCTGATGCTGATGCTGATGCTGGTGATGATGATGATGATGGTGGTGGTGGTGGTGATGATGATGATGATGATACTGATGCTGATGCTGATGCTGATGCTGATAATGAGGAAGAGGATCAGGATGAGGATGCGGATGAGGATGAGGATGAGGATGATGATGACGAGGACGATGATGATGGTGATGCTGATGGTGATGCTGATGCTGATGCTGATGCTGATGCAGGTGATGATGAGGAGGAGGATGAGGAATAAGAAGAAGAAACAGAGGAGGAGGAGGACCAGTGTAAGCCCAAGAGTCATCAACGCTGTTGGAGTAAACCTTCCCTCCAAGCTCTCTCTTCACAGGCCCCTAAAACGGCTCATTTCCATTTGATGGAACTGCCTCGTTGGAAGACACCCGTTTGAAGACCCTGAAGCATGCCAAAACATTGTTCTTGGGATTCCAACGCCACGGACCAACCTGATTGTTGCGTCTTGACGATCCTGAACCGTGCCAGACCGCCATTCCTAGGACTTCAACACAGGGAATCAACGTAATTGCTGCACCCGCATAATCCAGAATCCTTGCAAACGCCATTTCTGGTACGTTGATGATGGAAATCCGTGGAACCCTTGAACGTTTGGTAAGCGAATGTGCGCGGCGCTAAGGCGAGAGCCACAATGTGAAAACCACTCGCTCTCAATCCGTGAAACTCCTGCAACCTTTTGAAGGAGAACTACTCTGCGCCGCGCTAGGGCGAGAGCCACATTTTGAAAGCGACCCGCCCTCAATCCGTGAAGCTCTTGCAAATTCTTAAAGCCAATGTGCGCCGCGCTCAGACGAGAGCCACATTTTTGAAATCACTCGCCCTCAATCCGCGAAGCTTTTGCATAGTTTTGGTAACGAATGTGCGCGGCGCGAAGGGGAGAGCCACACACCACACGCCCTGAATCCGTGAAACCCTTCTGCAAATTTTGAAAATGAATGTGCGCCGCGCTAGGGCGAAAGCAACACATTGAAAACCACCCGCCCTCAATACATGACAATCTGGCGTTTTTTTTTGCGCTTCCCCCCAAACGGTAAAACAACTAACACAAACGAATGTGCGCCGCGCTAAGGTGAGAGCCACATTTTGAAAACGACCCGCCCTCAATCTGTGAAACTGTTGCCAATGTTTAAGCTCCAGAGTCATACATGGTGAGGAAGTCCAGGCGAAACGCCCAGCCCGCCCTGAAAACTGGGCTCGGGGTGCGACAGGGAGAAGTTGTTCATTTCTAAGGAAAAGGAAGTGGGGAGGAGGAGGAGGAGGAGGAGGAGGAGGAGGAGGAGGAGGAGGAGGAGGAGGAGGAGTTGGAGGAGGAGGAGGAGGAGGAGGTAGACGAGCAGGAGGAGGAGGAGGAGAAGGGGGTGGAGGAGGAGTTGGAGGAGGAAGAGTAAACCACGCCATATGTTTGGGGAGGCATGTGGATGAGGCGAGGAGGAGCAGGAGAAGGGGGAGGAGGAACAGGACGAGAGGACGAGGAGGGGGAGGAAGAAGGAACAGCTTGTTGGTTATGCGGGTTGGCAGGCCACCGTCCTCCAATCACGACCGACAAGCTGAGCTGCGATAGAACACCCATCCTCGCAGCGCGAGCGCGCCTGGAGGAGCACTTCGCGCGAGCTTGAGGACGAACCCCTTTTAATGAAAACGGGACAACGCCTCAGCCATCGTCGCACACAGCTCCATGCGTGGCGCGCGCGGCGCGAGGCACGGGGCCACGACATCGCCAGCTTGCGCGGGCGCCCTCTCTTCGACTCACCTCGTGTTTTTTGCTGAGGACACCACGACGCGGAAGGGGCACGGGTCTGACCCGAGAGGTCCCCGCGACACGGCCGGCTCCGCCTACACCCCGCAGGCCGTTCTCACCATGACGGGTCCCGTGGGAAGCGGGTCCTGAGGTTTTTCATCGTGTTTGGCCTTCAGTGGCCCGCCCTGGGGTCGCGGGCGATGCTTTTCCCCCCAGGCCCCGACTTTTCAACGAAAAATGAATGTGTACATGTACACACACATACATACATAACGGATAATACGGATCTAAAATGTGTTGTGGGAACGATGCGCCGCCACGGGCGCTGCCGTGTTGCAGCCGCTTCACGTTTGCAAACGCACTGGTGTTGGGGATACCCCCAGGGGGTCTGATTAGGCTCCCGGCAGCGGCTCGCTTGTGTGATTGCACGAGGCGTTTGTGCCGTTATATTTGTTGCGCTGTAGTGTGATTGCGCTGGAATGTTGTTGCGAAGTGCCCGCTCTGCAGCCCCGCTGCGTCGAAGTGGTTTCGCGTGGCAATCGTTCTCCATCGCGGCTTCCATGGACATTGCGCACTGTTGTGCATCTGCGTGCATTTGGTTTCGTTTTGAGCGTGTTTGGTTGCGTTTTGAGCGCCCCTTGGCTCTCTCAGCGGCCGTTTGTTCGCCCCCCCCCGTTTCCGCCACCCCCTGTGGATTTGCATGAATTCGAAAACCCCACGAAGCTTGGGATGGGGTGACATATCTCCTGTTATGGGGGCCGTCAAACAAAAACTGCCGAGGATGACGAGCCTTGCTTGCGGGAAGGCCCCAGGGTTCAGGGCCCGTTTCCCTCAGGACCCGTTTCTGGCGTGTTTTTCGGAGTTGGAAGCCCGTGGTTGAGTTTTTTGGGGGGCGTTCGCGAGAGGAGGGGCAGGGCAGGAGAAGAAGTGTGGGGGGGACACGGTACGTAGGGAGTAGGGCGGAGTCAGCGTGTTGCGCGGGGATGCCGCACAGCAAACATCATGACGGACAGTGGTGGCGGTCCCACAATCCTGAGGGGCAGTAGAGGGGGCAGCACTCCAGCGAGCGGGAAGCAGCTCTCACTTCCCCCCTTCTCTCCGCCCTCTCCCCGCCTCGGCCTCTGCTCTCGTCGCCCTCGTCGTCGTATTCCGCGTCGCGTCGCATCTCTCCTCGGCCTTTTCCTCCTCGCCCTCTGCCCCCCCTTCCTCCTCCGGGACCACCCAGGGCACCCAGGAAACCCTCCCCACCTCGGCTGTCTTGCATCCATCCTCGTCGTCGCCCGCCTGCTCCTCCCCCTCCCCTTGCATTCCGCCCCCTTCCCTCCCCTCCATGGCCCCACCCCTCAGCGGGGAAGCGGCAGGTCTCCAGACGGCGAGCCCAAAGCGGATGGAGCCGTCGCGAAGGCCGCCGCCGCCCCCACCAGCGCCTCAAGGGCCGCGGCCGCGGCGACGGCGGCCAGCCTCGACGATGCACGGCGAGGGGGGCCATTGCGACGACGGCCATGGCGTCTCGGAGGAGAGCGTCCTGGGCGCCCATGCGCTGTTCGCAGGGGGCAGTGCTTGCAAGGAAGCGTGACTGGGAGGGGGGGGGGCTCTCGTGGGAGTCCTTTGGGAGCCGTATCGGAACGTCTGCGGGGCCTCTGGGGGCCCTCCTGGGCCGTCTGCGGCGCCCTGTAGGCCGTATTGGAGCGATCTTGGGCTGGGTGGGGCCCTCGTTGGGCCGTATTGGGGCTAGCATCTTGGGCGGTTCTGAGCCCGTGTAGGGGTCCTTTTGGGTATCTCGTGGGCCGTCCCGGGGCCGGCTGGAGCTGTCGTGGGGCCATCCTGGAGGCCTCTTGGCCCGTGTCGGGTTGTTGGTCAAGACCTTTGAGTATGCTTTCCAAACATGTGGGCTTTCCATGGGGAGTGCGGTGGGCTGGCGCCGCCGGCTGTTTTTGACGCCGCTCCAGGTGCGAGAGGAGAGCAACACACAAAACGTATCTTGGCGAAGGACCCACAGCCATGCAATTGTGAATGCCGCAAGGCAGGTGGAAGCTTTTACGGGGCCACGAGACGTGTGAGGGGTATGCCGACATGGGCGCGGGGGGCGCATGTGGACACCGTTGCCAAGGCCATGGGTGGAGCTTCCTGGGGGCAGGCCACGTACCGCGCGACAGGTGTGCCGAAATGAGCGGGGGATGCGCATGCGATCACAGCCACCAGGGCCTTCGGTGGAGGTCCCTATGGGGTCACGAGAGGCTGTGCTGGGTGGCGCGGACGCATGTGGTCACAGCAACTGGGGCCCTCGGTGGAGCTCGCCACGAGACGCTGTACTGGGTGGCGCGGACGCATGTGGTCACAGCCATTGCGGCCTTCGGTGGAGCTCATTATGGAGCCAGGAAGTGCTGTACTGGGATGGCGCGAGACGCATGTGGTCACAGCTACTGGGGCCTGGTGGAGCTCCCCATGGGGCCACGAGGCGCCGTACTTTGTGGCGCGGGACGCATGTGGTCACAGCCACTGGGGCCTTCGGTGGAGCTCCCCATGGGGCCACGAAACGTGTGAGAGGTGTCCCGAAATCAGCGGCTGGGGCTGGGACGCATGCGGGCGGCTCTAGTGAGACCTCCAGTGGAAATCTCTAGGGGGCCGCGAAACGTGTGAGGGGTGTGCCGAAATGAGCGGCTGGGACGCATGCGGGCGGCGCCACTAGGGCCTTCGGTGGGACTCCCTATTGGGCCACGAAACGTGTGAGGTGTGTTCGTGTGTGCCGAAATGAGCGGCTGGGATTCATGCGGGCGGCGCCGAAATCAGCGGCTGGGGCTGGGACGCATGCGGGCGGCGCCACTGGGGCCTTTGGTGGAACTCACTATTGGGCCCTATTGGGCAACGAAGCGTGTGAGGTGTGTGCCGAAATGAGCGGCTGGAATGCATGCGGGCGTCGCCATTGGGGCCTTCGGTGGAGCTCCCTATGGGGCCACGAAGCATGTGAGGAGTGTGTGCCGAAATGAGCGGCTGGGACGCATGCGGGCGGCGCCACTGGGGCCTTAAGTGGAGCTCCCTATGGGGCCACGAAGCGTGTGAGGAGTGTGCCGAAATATGCGGCTTGGACGCATATGGGCGGCGCCGCTGGGGCCTTCGGTGGAGCTCCCTATGGGGTCACGATCCTCGTGAGGGTTGTGTGTGTGTGTGTGTGTGTGTGTGTGTGTGTGTGTGTGTGTGTGTGTGTGGGTGCCAACATTGTGGACATGCGGAGAGCAGAGGCAGGGATGGGAGAAGGGAGGAGGGAGGAGGGAGGAGGGAGGAGGGAAGAGGGGGGAGGGAGGGAGGAGGAGGGCGGAAGGAGGAGGAGGAGCAGGAGGAGGTGGAGGAGGAAGGAGGAGGAGGAATGAGGAGGAGGAGGAGGAGAAGGATGAATAGCATGATGACTGAGGACGAGGGGGAGGAAGGATAATGCTCGTATGGCTGTCAATCAAGTGCTCTTGTTTTCAATGCTCTCGGGGCACTTCTCGTCGCCAGGGCTGGACGCGGCTCGATCGTGCCTGGTGATGCGGGTTCGTGCTCTGCCGACGAAGGGTGTGTCACGGGCCCGTTCGCGCCTAGATTGTGGGAATATCTCGAACGGTCCGTTTGTTTTACGGGGTGGAGGTGTGTTTTGGAGCTGTATGGTCTTCGCTGGCCACTTCAGTTGACTTTTGAAGTTGTTTAGGGCCCCATCCAGGGCTTGCCTTGGCTGTCGGGGTGAGCAGTGCACATGAGCCTGGGTGTTTGGGACGCCTGGGACAGCTCTGGGCGACCCGGCAACCCCAATGGCGGTGCCGGGGAGGTGCCGGGGAGGTGTTGCCTTCAAAGGAGCTGGGTGCGCCCTACGGCCCACAGAGAGCCATCCTCGGAGCCTCGGGCTCCGACATGCCCTGACTTGATGGGCTCTGGCTCGTTTCGCTTGAGACGTTCTCACAACTCTCGGTTCCAAGATGTGGTTCGCGAGGCACTCAGGCACGTTTCGACTGAGACATCCTCACCGTTTGGCCTGAGACGTCCTCGCAACTCTGGGTTGAAGATGCGGTTCACGAGGTGCTCAAGCCCGTTTCGCATGAGACATCCTCGGAACCCTGGGCTCCGAGATGCCCTGACTTGAGATGCTCAGTCCCGTTTCACTCGAGACAGCCTCATTAATTACGTTGTTCGCCTGAGACATCCTCGCAACCCCAGGCTTCCAGATGCCCTGAATTGAGGTGCTTTGGCCCGTTTCGCTCGATACGTTCTCACAACTCTGGGTTCCAAGATGTGGTTAGCGAAGCACTCAGGCACGTTTCGACTGAGACATCCTCGGAATCCTTGGCTCTGTCTGAATGACCTGAGACGTCCTTGCAATTCCGGGCTGAAGATGCGGTTCGCGAGGTGTTCAGGCCCGTTTCGCTTGAGACATCCTCGGGACCCTGGGCAACGAGGTGCCTTGACTTGAGGTTCGCTGGCCCGCTGGGCTTGAGACATCCTCGCAACTCACACCTCTCGGTTCTAAGATGCGGCTCGCGAGGTGCTCTGGCCCGTTTCGCCTGAGGCATCCCTGGGTTCCAATATGTGGTTCGCGAGCTACTCAGGCACGTTTTGCCTGAGACATCCCACGAACCCTGGGCTACTGTGAGATGTCCTCAATTGAGGTGCGCTGGCCCGTTTCGCTTGAGACGTTCTCGCAACTCTGGATTACAAGACGCTGTCCGCGATGTGCTCAAGCACGTTTCGCCTGAGACATCCTCGAAATCCTTGGCTCCGAGATGCCCTGACTTGAGGTAACCTGGGTGTAAGTGCGCCGCGCTTGAAGGCGACAGCGACAGAGTTGTTGCTAGGTTTGCCCCTGGAGCAAGAGGAAGTTGGGGATCAATGGAAAGTGACAAAACAAACAGGAAGTCGCCATTATGTATGTATATATATATATATATATATATATATACACAGGGGCGCACATGGCTCGAGGACCGATGGCCGGAACCTCGACCGCAAATGTGGGTCCTGGGACCCGGGCCCGCCTCTGGTAGGCTTAAAATCGCCCCGAGGAGCCCTCAGACAGCAATCCCGGCGGCCCCACACGGTCTCGAGACAACCCCAAGACGCCGTCCAGGGGTCTCTGGCGACGAACGATGCGCTTTAAACTGCCCCGGAGGCCCCCAAGACGCCCCAAGAGGCCTTTAAGATGCCGCCCGAGAGCGTCCCGAGAGGGCAAAATCGATTATTCATTTTATTTCTTAAAACAAATCAAGTTTTTTACATTCTCGCTGTTTCCGCTTAAAAGGCTCCCAAAACCCCCCAAGATGACCCAAGAGGCCCCCAAGAGGGCCCCAGTACGGCCCAAGAGAGTCCCGAGACGGCCCCAGAGCAGCCCAAAACGGCGCAAGAGGGTCCGAAGAAGGCCCCAAGATGGGCCCAAGAGAGGGAACGCGAACTGAAAAATCAAGCTCTCCGCCCCAACATGCCCCCAAGAGGCCCAAAGAGGCCCCCAGGAAGCCCCCAAGAGGCCCCAAGAGGCCCCCAAGAGGCCCCAAGAGGCCCCCAACAAGCCCAAAAGAGGCTCCAAGAGGCCCCAAGACGGCCTCCAGACGGCCCAAGAGGCCCCCAAGATACCCAAGAGTCTTCCAAGAGGTCTCCCAACAGAGCTCGAAGATGCCAAAACACATGTATGTTCCATAAGTTTTTGAATAATTTTGGCGTTTTCGCCCGTTCCGCTTCCCGACGCTGCAAAACGCCCCGTGAGGCTCCGAGGATCGGCCCAAGACGGCCCAATAGGCTTCAAAAGCGCCCCAAGACGGCCCAATAGGCTTCAAAGGCGCCGAAGAGACGCCCAAGACGGCCCGAGAGGGCCCCGACCGCGGCCCAGGATCGGGAACGTGAACCGAGAACCCGAGGTCTCCGCCCCAGGAGACCGCCAGGAGGCTTTAAGAGCTCCCCAAGAAGCCCCAAAGAGATCCAAAAGAGCCCTGAGAGAGGCCCCGAGGTCACTAGAGAATGACGGGATGTCCAACACTTTTTTCAAAGTTTGCCTGGCAGGTTCGCTACGCTTGTCAAAAATGAAGTATCAGATTCCACCCTCCTCCTCCTCCACCTCCTCCTCCTCCTCTGTCTCCTCCACCGGTTCCTCCTCCTCTGCGGCCTCTTCCACCCTCTCCAACTCCTTCTTATCCTCTTTCTTTTTTTCCCCAGGAAGGCCCTTCACCTCCCCTTTTCCTCCATCTTCCTCCAGCTACGTCCAGCCGCGGCGAATGCAAGGGCACCCGAAATGCCTTTTGAGCATATCTGAATCAGGACGTCGTGGGTGGACCGTGGGAAGTCTTGGAAGCCGCTTCGGCTGTCTTCGTGGTTCTGAAGCCGCGGAGAAGAAGTGACATGGAATATAGATCCCCAAGAGTCCGACCATCCAGCCTAGCTAGATTTTG